CAGAGAGGGAGAGAGAGAATCCAAAGCAGGCTCCTCGCTGCTTATACTCATGAACTGTGAGATCATGACCTGAGCTGAGGTCAGATACTTAACCGCCTGAGCCCCCAGGTGTCCCCCCACCCACCCATTTATACTTTTTAATTTATATGCTTGTGAGCCATTTATACTTTATAAACTTGCATTCCGAGACAGGTGTGTGGTGTTGGATATACTAAAGGCCACAAGGTGGGGATGTTACTCAGCGAGCCTGGGAACCCACCTGGCGTCGCCCCACCATTGAGTGGAATCTGTTCGAACCGAGGAAGAGAAGATGGCCAGAATGCTTAGTTAGAACTTGACTCAGGTGGAACAGGTTGTGACGGGTTTTTTACCACTCCTATAGCAACTCGGTTTTTCTGTTCATGAGTGAGCATGTGTTGTGTGTGCCCACGGGGTGACTGTACAGATAGATGTTTCAGCCTCACTAATTCCCCCGGACTGGCTTCTTTCCCGCTTGCCCTTTCTTCCTCTGTTCTGCCCACTTCCTCCCCCAGGGTTATAAAGCTAAGTGTCTTGTTTTATTGTTCCTAGTCTAGATTTTTTTTTTTTTTTAATGATGAATAAACACTTTATTTCTTCTCTCCTTTTCGCCCTCCCTGGGATACACATGTATCTGTGTGCACACAACCTCAGTTGATTTTTATGGGAATAATAGTCTTGGCAGAAGAAAGGTTTCACACCCTTGATTTAGGAAACCACTTGCCTATTTTCTGTAATCTCTAAAATGTTGTATCTCATCCTATAGCATACAGATAAAAATCCCAAATCTCATTTGGGATTGAGGAATCGTATGAGATTACCCTTTCTCTAGACCCATTCATTTGTTTCACACACGCCTGGGCTAGACGCTAGAGGACACAGTAGCAAACAGCACAGACCTGAGTCCTGTGTCTCCCAGAGCCCGTGTGTGGGAAGCGGTGCAGAGGGAGAGACGTGTGTAGCTGACAATTTCCTTGGAATTTGCTAAGTCCTGGGCTGGAGTCCTATGATGCAAATTGGGAGTATTGTGCATGTAAAACTATATAATCAAAATGAACTCTGTAAAATTAAATGGAGAAATAACTACATTTTTCCCTTCAGGTTCCAGAAACCAACATCCTGGGACAAATTGGACACGGCTATAAGTATGCCATAGGGAGTCTTAATGAAGGCAGAATAGGAATTGCTGCACAGGTTAGTCACATTGTGGCCATTTCGTTTGACTCTTGCACAGTGTGGGTCAATTAAAACGTAGAAAGAAAAAAATGCAGTAAAACTGATGAATATTTGGAAGCATGTGAACACAAGATGGCGCCCTTCCCTTCCGTGAGGTGGGAGAATGGCGTCTGACCACCAGCTTGAAAATCCCACTTTTGGTCAATTATGTAATGCCCTGAGAGCCAAACAATGGCTTAGTGGTGACACTTTTTCTGCTTTGAGAATGTTAAGTATTATCTGATACCTGTATCAATCACTTCTCAAATATATTGTAAATTAAATGTGCATTTTTAAAAAAATCTTTTCAATTTTTGAGGTTCATGCTAGAAGAAATTTTTTAAATTAAGAATACATAACAGTCTGTGTAGTATACATCTCTAATCTATAATATCTTTTTTTTAATGTTTATTTTTGAGAGAAGTAGACAGAGTGTGAGTGGGGGAGGGGCAGAGAGAGAGGGACACACAGAATCTGAAGCAGGCTCCAGGCTCTGAGCTGTCAGCCCAGAGCCTGATGTGGGGCTTGAACCCTCAAACCGTGAGACATGACCTGAGCTAAAGTCAGACGTTCAACCAACCAAGCCACCCAGGTGCCCCTCTAATCTATAAATAATGAAAAATTTGTTGCCTAGTGTTGTGCATGTGAAAATCTGGCAATTTTTTGTGTGTAGTGCTTGAAATAAAATAACTACAATAAAATAGGATATATAAGATGAGGACTATTCCATTTTTTTTATCAAATTTGCCCTTTGTAATGCATATTACATTTTTCTGTGAAGTGATACTAGTTATTTTCTTTTTATTATTTTTTTTAACCTTTATTTATTTTTGAGACAGAAAGAGACAGAGCATGAACGGGGGAGGGTCAGAGAGAGGGAGACACAGAATCAGAAGCAGGCTCCAGGCTCTGAGCTGTCAGCACAGAGCCCGACGCAGGACCCGAACTCACGGACTGCAAGATCACGACCTGAGCTGAAGTCGGACGCTTAACCGACTGAGCCACCCAGGCACCCCTCAGTTATTTTCTTGATTAGCAACATGAATAAAGTCTTGGGTTTTATTATAAATGTCGTTTGGGGGACACGTGGCTGGCTCAGTTGGTAGAGCATGTGACTCTTGATCTCGGGGTCGTGAGTTTAAGCCCCATGCTGGGTGTAGAAATTACTTAAAAATAAAACCTTTTTAAAAAATATATCATTTTGTAGAATATATTTATAGAATTTGTAGAATTCATTTAGTCAGTGAATATCCAAAATGTACAAACTGACAGCTTTTAGGTTTTGAAGATGTTACATGTATTAGCTATTAGAATAGTAAATGTCATGCTACTACCCTAGGGGTTTTTGTGTTGCTGTTAATTTGCTGACAAAATATTCTTAGATCAAAACTTAACCCGTGTTTCCCACAAAGCTAGATAATGAGAGAATTGGCATATCTGTTTTTCTTAATGTTTTTCTGTGATTCAGCATCATCAGATATGGTGTTAAAAACCATAGTCTGAATCTCCTTGTTCTCAGACATATAAATAATATAGATGTTCTGGCATTAAAATACACAGCCTGGGCTTTAATCTAATTACTCTGAGTTATCTTATAACCTAATTAAAAGTTAAGGTCAGGTAGTTACTATTTCTTGGTTAGCATTGTGAATGCCTTTTAGAGCAAGAGTCACATCTGACAGAGACCTGAAGGCATCAGTCCTCAAAACTGCAGCCGAGGACTATTTAGTTTTTCAGTAATGATAGTGAAAACATTGTACAGAGATGAAAAGCCTATTGTGATTGACAGCCAGTGATTTTAATTTTCACGTCAATGTAGGATATTATTAACATGCTGTGAATTTTAGTCCTAAGAGTTTGGTGACAGTTGGCTAAATCAAATTTAAAAAAAAAAAAAAAAAAAAAAAAAAAAAAAAAAAAAAAAAAAAAAAAGTTTGATGACATCATCTTGACTCAGCCAAAAATGCATTGGGTCGCTGCCTCACTAAAATTTGGGAGGTTTTTTTTGGCAGGGGGGGAGATCCTTTAATTTTTAGCACAATATTCTGTTCTCCAGAAAATTCAAAATAAAAGGCTAAAGGAAAATGTGAACACTAATGAAATATTAATAAGTCTATGGGCATTTCCCACAAAGCTTTTGCTATTGATATTTGTTTCCTTTTTCTATTTTTTTTTTAAATGTTTATTTTTGAGAGAGAGAGACAGAGTGCGAGCAGGGTGGGGCAGAGAGAAAGAGAGAGAGAGACACAGAATCCAGAGGAAGCTCCAGGCTCTGAGCTGTCAGCACAGAACCTGACATGGGGCTTGAACCCATGAACCGTGAGATCATGACCTAAAGCTGAAGTCGGACACTTAAACCAACTGAGCCACGCAGGCACCCCTGTTTCCTTTTTCTAAAACCCACATAGTTTGGCATAAGTAGATGGTGGCTTAAGTGGCTACCTGATGTTGAAATTTGGAAACCATTTCTAAGCTTGAATAGTTCAATACAGAGCTTAGTTAGCAATGGGACAGTTCAGCTAAGATTGTCACCACGTCCTGATTTGTTCAAGTGCCTAAATCCATGTTTTCACCAGGTGCTCTTGCTTTAGCCCTGCAGTGAACCATTAAGGTTTTAAAACAGCTGATGCCGGGGCACCTGCGTGGCTCAGTCGGTTAAACGGCCGACTTCGGCTCAGGTCATGATCTCACAGTTCGTGATTTCAAGCCCCGCACCGGGCTCTGTGCTGACAGCCTGGAGCCTGCTTCGGATTCTGTGGGTGTCTCTCTTCCCTGCCCTTCCCCCACTCGTGCTCTGTCTCTCTCTCTCTCTCAAAAATAAATAAACATTAAAAAAAATTTTTTTAAACGCTGATGCCTAGGCCACTCACCCCCTCCATTCTCAAGATTTAGATTCAGTTGTTAGACCCTCATGTCGCTTTTTTCTTTTTTAATCAAGTCCCCACAAATGATCTTGATATGCCTCCAGGGTTGGAAAACACTGCTCTTTTATGTTCTAGTGCCCTTTCCCCTGAAGCCCTTATTAATCCTGATCGTATGCAGAACAGACAGGAAGATAGAAGGTTAGGAAGTGACCTTCCATGCTTGCCTTCTAGAAGGACCAGAGGGAGCTGCTCTAGTCTTTGAGGCCAGTTCCGAGCAAAATTTCTGTGGCTTGCTTTATGCCTGGAGAATCAGAGCTTAGAGGAGAAGCTTCCTTAGAAGTAACCTGGTTGTACAAGCACAGCCAAGCCGTAGGATTTAGCCTGCAAGAATTCAGTAGACTCATGTGTATGTGAAATCTCTCGAATCTTCTCCCAGTTACTGGAAATTAACTTCTACAAATGCGGTGGGTGAAGGTATTAACACACACCTCGCCAGTCCGTCCCCTACCCCAGCTATTCAATTTGCCTGTAAAAGGGATTTATACCCTAAATAATTAAAAGTGTTAAACTTACAACAAAATAAGAAATTCTGCTCTTTTTTTTTTTTTTTAAACAGATGCTGGGATTGGCTCAAGGCTGCTTTGACCACACTATCCCATATATGAAGGAAAGGATACAATTTGGCAAAAGGATATTCGATTTTCAGGTACGTAATTCTCAGTCTCTTTCTAGCCAGCTGTACTGTCGTGGCTTCCTATTAATGAAGAGCTGTGTCATAAAGCTGTGGAGGACATCCCCTCGGGGGGATTTTAATGGGAGAGGTGGAGAGGAGGAAGGAATAGGTCTCAGGGAGCATACCTGTGAATGCCTTGACCTTCTCCAAGGGCAGAACAACCGTCCTTGAGGCCCGCCTGTGGCATGACTCCTCTCTAAAGATGATACTAGGGTGACTTCAGGGTGACTTCGCATCCTCTAGATGTGTAGAGTATTCAGCACATTGCCTGAGTCTAACGAGCGCTCAGTAAACGGTAACACTTGTTAGGAATCCCCTGCGCAGGTCAGAGCCATGCGGTAATCCTCAAAAGATGACACTTTGACCCTTCTTTCTTGTAGAAGGTACAGTGTGCTGCAGTGGGTACAAACGAGATGTTCTCAGCCAAGCGTATTGGGAAATAGGGGCCTGGTCTAATGATGTAGCTTCTCGGAGCTCCCCAGATAAGGGGACCGTTGGTGACGGTGGCATCTTCCGGTCCATGTTGAGGCCTTGCCGGGTTCGGGAAAGCCTGGAGTGACAGCTTACCAAGTTCGCTTAAGCACTTGACCTAAAAATCCCGAAAAATTGCTTTACATGTTCACAAAACCTTCTTGTAAGCAGGCCCCAAGGACAATTTCTTATTCCATTACCAGTTCTGTTGTGATGTGTTGTCTTCAGGTGCTGTAGTAATTATTTGTCGTTACGTGGGCACACACAGATTGCACGTGCATGGAAATACGAGGCACAGTCAGTTCTGGCCTGGAAAGTCTGAGTGAGCATGTCAGTCCTGGCCAGGGCCCCCCACAGCCTGTGCTGTCGTGACGTCTTATACGTGGGAAGCTGAAGCATCTGGAGGTTGAGTTCCCAAGGACATACAGCTAGTAATGTGTCAGATGATCAGATTATGTCCCAAGGACATATCCGCTAGTAATGTGTCAGATTCTGTCTTGGCTTCTGGTCTGACTTTCATGTTATTGTACTAGCAAACTCTCTCAGACCAGCTACTACACAGATTGCAAGGAAAGGGACAGAATACGAGACAATTTGAGGGAGATCTCAGTACACCAGAAACTATTTTTGTGTCTGTGGAGTTGGTAAGGGAGGGATACGGGGTCAGGTGTACTAATTGGCATAATCGTGGCACTTCCAGAGATGCCTCTTGTGGCATTAGAAAACACTTAGAAACACTTTTGGAAAACACTTTTGGAAATTTGATCTTGAAAACAACATTATTTATTATATATATTTATTTTATAATATATTTTTATACATACAGCCACATATATCTGATGCTTTGGTTAAAGGTAGAGTTTTCTCTAACTGCTTTAATCTCATTAGAATGGTTTGTGTCTTGCTTTGCATGTGATCATTCACATCTTTGTCTTGTCCAGACTACAAGCTCCTTGGGTAAAGATGAGGCCTCTTCATCCTCACTTCTCTCAGTTGTGTGTTCAGGATAGATTCATTGAATATGTTCTCCATGTCAGGCCCTGTGTTCACAGTGTAGTCAGGGAACCGGTATTCAGCAATCGTTAGTTCTTGTAGGGCAAGAGACATTGCCAGCATCAGCTTTGTGCCTCTCCTGGCACCTGATGTGGTCATTGGAGTGGATAACCTAGATGGCAACTGTTGGTTTAATTGAACCGAATGTGCTTTTCAAAAATAATTAGAATCTGCATTCCACATAACAAGCCATAAACTATTTCTAGAATAGTGATATTGGCATAGAAATAGACAAATTGACTGATGGAACAAAAAAGAAAGGCCAGAAATAGACTTAGGCACGTATGGAAACCTGATGTAGGATGGTAGTGGTATTGCAGATCACTGGGTGGGGCTATTCTTTCCTTGTGGAAAAAAAATGAGACTGGATCCCTACCTCACACCATACATAGAAAATAGATTTCTGATATACTAAAGATGTAACATAAAAAATAAAATTTTAGGGGCGCCTGGGTGGCTCAGTCAGTTAAGTTTCTGACTTTGGCTCAGGTCGTGATCTCACAGTTCGTGGGTTCAAGCCCCATGTCATGCTCTGTGCTGACAGCTCAGAGCTTGGAGCCTGCTTCAGAATCTGTATCTCCCTCTCTCTCTGCTCCTCCCCTGCTTGCACTCTCTCTTAAAAATAAATAAACGTTAAAAAAAATTTTTTTTAAGTTTTAGGAGAAAATAGAGAATATCTTTATGATCTCATGGTAGGGAAATTATTTTGTAAACAAGGCCCCAAAAGACTAATTGTAAAAGATAATAATAATGGTGAATTTGGCTACCAAATTTCTTTTCCTCAAAAGACACCATAAAGTAAAAAGATAAATTAGAAGGAGGATGATATTTGCTGTACACATAGGTTAGTGAGTGTTCAATTTATTATGATGCTTTATAAGCTACACACATGTAACGGATTTTTTTTGTGCATACCAAATATTACAGAAAGAGAAGGAGAATCTATCGGGTATTTTCGAACTGTTTTTAACTGTTCTGCTTGCTGGGCTATATAAGTCATAAGCACAAGGAACTCTGACTGTCATGTTCAGTGCAACATCTTTAGTGCTCAGCACAGTGCCTGGCATATAGTAGGTGCTTAGTACATATCTGGGCGGACAGAGATACTGGGCATGAGAAATTTCTGTTCGTAATAGACATACCCATGTCCATATTTCCAGGATATAGTTTACAACTATAAACTGCTAATACTCATATTCTCACTCACTGACTCACTCCTTTTCTTGATTAACATTGAGTGTGTGCCCCTCCATCCTCTAAAATTTGAAGTGGTAGTGATTTCTTCAGGGTGTTTTATTTTGTTTTGTTTTCTTAATTAGTCTTCTGTTGTCTATAACCCTAAAGAAACTGGTACCTGCTCATGAATATTGCCGTAGAGGTACTTTAATAAAGATACTTAGAGGGGCGCCTGGGTGGCGCAGTCGGTTAAGCGTCTGACTTCAGCCAGGTCACGGTCTCACGGTCCGTGAGTTCGAGCCCCGCGTCAGGCTCTGGGCTGATGGCTCGGAGCCTGGAGCCTGTTTCCGATTCTCTGTCTCCCTCTCTCTCTGACCCTCCCCCATTCATGCTCTGTCTCTCCCTGTCCCAAAAAATAAATAAAAAACATTGAAAATAAATAAATAAATAAAATAAATAAATAAATAAAAATAAATAAAGATACTTAGAGAAAATGGGAGCTTCAACTGTTCTTTCACTGCTTTGCAACTAACAGCATCTATTTATTTATGTATTTATTTACTGATTTACTGATTTATTAAAAAAAATTTAAGTATTTATTTATTGTTGGGAGAGCGCAAGCAGGAGAGGGCAGAGAGAGGGCGACAGAGGATCTGAAGCGGGCTCTGCACTGACAGGCTAACAGCAGCAAGCCCCACTCAGGCTCAAACTCACAAACCATGACCTGAGCCGAAGTAGGATGCTCAAGCCACTGAGCCACCCAGGTCCCCTCTAACAGCATCTTTTTAATGCACCGAGGCTATATGCAGAATCAAAATTTTATGAATTCAAGCAGATGAAAAATATGTTCACACTTTTGCTTTGCTGGGATTTAGTTTAAGCTTAATTTTGATCATGCAGTGGGCTTAAATTATTAAATGTGACAGTCAAATTTTGTTTTGTTTTTAATTTTTTTTAACATTGATTTATTTTTGAGAGAACAAAGACAGAGCATGAGTGGGGGAGAGGCAGAGAGAGAGGGAGACACAGAATCTGGAGCAGGCTCCAGGCTGTGAGCTGTCAGCACAGAACCTGATGCGGGGCTCGAACCCACGAACTGCGAGATCATGACCTGAGCCGACGTCAGACGCTCAACCGACTGAGCCACCCAGGCGCCCTAACAGTCAAATTTTTAAGCCTCATTTTGTGATGATTTCTTAAGTCTTGACATTTATAATTACATGAATTTTGAAAGTTGTCTGAGAAATAATGTATTTCATTTTAGATTGCATATTTTAATTATTATTTTTTAGATTGGAGATTTTAAAGTATTTCTACAAAATGAATGTAAATTCCTTTGCGGGGGGGTGCATATTTTCAGTGTGTCAGCATTCCATGTCCAGGCAAGACTTTGAGGATAAGCGGTGTTTTCGGGAGTCCTAATTCTCTAACTTGGGCCTAAATATTACAGGGGCTCCAACACCAAGTGGCTCAGGTGGCCACCCAGCTGGAGGCTGCAAGATTGCTAATATACAACACTGCTAGGCTTTTAGAAGGTGGAAAGTCATTCATAAAAGAAGCATCCATGGCCAAATACTATGCATCAGAGGTAAGACAAACAAAACGTAATTCACCTTCCCCTCCCCGTCACTTAAAAGTATTAACCTTTCCACTTAGGAGTGTTGATAATTGGTTTGTTTTTCAAGTAAAATAACATAGACTTTCCGGTTCCTGCAACAGAAAAGCACACTTGCAAACCTTGCATAGGAAAGTGCTCAATTCTACGAGGTCTTGATGTCTTTACAGGCTCTTCTGTGGAAACCGAGTGGCCCAGTTCAGGTAGAACACCCACCATAAATCCCTGGGTGAGCCTCAGTCTGAACGATGGCATCACACCCGTGGCTTCCAGTTGGGGCCAGGTGAATGCCATGGGAGCTCATGTGAAATAAAAACACAAGAAGAGATTGTTTCTGCTTTAATTTAATGCTTTCTGTTGATACTTCTGCCTTCTCTGTTTAACCCATTGGACACTGGCTGGAGAACTTTGCCCGGTCACTGGCTGCTACGGCCCATCCTCAGCAGTATGCCTTATTCATTCCATAGCTTCCGGTAGCCATTTAACATCTCAGCCCCCAAATTTAATCTCCTGCCTCAGCCTCCCTTCTGGGTTCCAGACTAATAGATCCAATTTCCACTTCACCTGCCCAACCCATCGCACCAGTCAGATGCCTGAGCGTCATCTCACCACCCCCTTCCCCGTCGTCTCCACCTTGAGCCCATCATCCAGGTGCTGAGGATTCTGCCCCGAGTATTTCTTGCATTTGTATATTTCCCTCCCTTTCTGCTGCCCCCTATTGAACAAGCCGGGTGATTTCTTCACCAGACGCCTCCACTCATCTTCCGACTGCTCCATTGGTCCTTGTTGCTTCCTCCAGTCCCCTCTTCCCTTTTCTTAGTGTTCACGAGGCCATGCCATTCCAGCTTAACCTTCGTGGCTTCTCACGGCAAATGGAACAGTGCTTGTATTCATTTCCTATTGCCGCTTTTAACAAATGACCAAAAATGTAGTGGCCTAAAACACTGCAGTTTTATTATGTCATGGCTTTGGAGGTCACAAGTCTAAAGTGAGTATCACTGGGATAAAATCAAAGTGTCAGCAAAACTGCCTTTCGGAAGCTCTGGGAGAATCCATTTCCTCACTCTTCCCGCTTCTAGAGGCTGCTCACATTCCGTGACCTGTGGCCCCGTCCTCTGTCTTCAAAGCCAGCGGTAGCGTGTTCAAATCTGGCTTGAGCCGTCCAGCCTCTGTCTTTCCCTTATGAGGACCCTTGTGATGCCATTGGGCCCACCCAGGCAGTCCGGAACCATCTCCCTCTCAAAGCCCTTAACTTAACCACATCTGTGGGTCCCAGTGGTCATGTAAGGTAACAAACAAATTAGTTTGTGGGGATTAGCATGCAGACAGATTGGGGGGCCATTACAGTATTAAACATGCTTGCCCTCAGGAGGCCCGCCTGCCTCTCCATTCTCTTCGCAGCTTGCCCTGACCCCAGCCCACTTCCCCTCAGGTCCTTGAGGTCGATAAACCCGTTCGCCCCTTGAAACCCTCCCACACGTTCCTCAACTTGACATGTCCCCTCACTCGTCCTTTGGGCCTCAGCGAAGCTGTAATTTCTTCACACTGTTCTCCTTCTACATCACATCAGCTTCCCTAGCCAGTTCTCCTTGCCTCGTAGAGTTGATCACTTTCTGTAATTGTTGGTTTGATGTGGGAACCAAAAGAGCCCCCAACCATCGTTTTACCCAGTGGCTGGCAGAGTGCGTGATGCAAAGAAGACCCTTTGTGTATATATTTGCTGAGTAACGATACCTGTCGGTGTGCATAGGTGTCTGAACAATACCCTAATGTTCTTAAGAAAATAGGAATTTTGTGAATAAATACGAGTTGCCAAAAATGGCGTAGAGAATGGGGCTGAAGAGACAATGCGATCCTACAAAGTAACTCCGATCGGCGGACAGCAGTGGCTCCACGTTACTAAAATATTCCGCAGGAGTGTTTATGGTGCATGAGTTATGCGGTTTCAGCATATTATTTGCTGCTTGGTTTTGGCAGATTGCAGGCCTCACAACCAGTAAGTGTATCGAGTGGATGGGAGGAGTCGGCTACACCAAAGATTTCCCTGTGGAAAAATACTTCCGAGATGCAAAAGTTGGTAGGCAGATTTTTTTACGTTTTATTTTGTTTTCTTTTATTTGCCTCTGTAGCTGTGTGGCCTGCTGTCTATGTTTGGTTTTATATTACCGTACTTAGGCAAAGGCAATTGTAATCTCTTCACTATTGTGTTTATTGGCTCTCTTCTTTTCTGGGGCTGGGCTTTTCTCCCCCACCTCTTCCTTCAAGAAGAAGGATGGATTTATATTTTTTAAGACATCAAGTTGCCTTTATAAACGCCTCAACAGAGCCTTTTCGCAAAACTGCAACCAAACTGACTTGTCATTTTTCTCTTACCAAAAATGTTACTACGTTTGATTCGTTCAATGCCGTTCTTTGAAGCTAAGTTCTGATTTCAGAAGCCTAGCGCCCCATCAAGCCTGAGCCGTCTGACGCTCCACTACCAGGCGGGAAGACCAAAACAAGGAGCTTTGAAAGCTGCCTGTTTCAGAGTGACAATCCAGGCTCATGCGTTGATAGATCAGGAACAATGAACTTCAACCGTTTACTACTGATTCTGGAATCAGAATCCAATTTCCAAATGGAATATTTTCATCTCTTAGGCAAAATGACTTTGTCATATAGTACCATATTCAGGGGATATTGAATGATATCACTAGTGACAGTTTTATAGCAAATATACAGAGGTAATGTGTAGAAGCTATGTCTTAATGTAGACACGTAGTTATGGGTGCCCTCCTAATTTTTTTTTTTTTTTTTTTTTTTTTTGCTCCCTTTTTATTTAAGGCACAATATACGAAGGAGCTTCAAATATCCAGCTCAACACCATCGCAAAGTGCATTGACACAGAATACTGACGTCCACAGGGACGGGCCTCTCCCCCTTGTCTTGTCGCTGGCATAAAAGTCTAAACTATCGTGCCTTTTTGTGGAAGTAAACCTCCATGGCATTGAAGTATTCTGTTCAAGGCCTTAGTCATGATTCTTGGGATTGATCTTTTGTGTTTTATCTTTCCAGTCTGCATAAATTAGGCACCGGGAAATCATTTTTCAAATTTGGGAAGAAGGGCATCTGTGTTTTCTCCAAAACTGTTGTTAAAGTTGTACACGTGTAAATCACTTCAGCTTCAGGACAGACAGACGTTTCACTCTGTCAGCATTTGGAGAAATGCATGTGAAGTATTACGTACAGACATGACTGCTTTATATTCCTGTTAAATCTTTATTTTTTGGATCAGAGAAACATTTGTTATAATTGGCAATTCTATTGATCGATTCAATTCTAAGTTACTAGCCTAGGTAGGAACTGAAAATGTATTTAGAAAAATCTAAAAAAAAAGTTTTAAAAAAATGTTTATTTTGAAGGAAAAAGAGAGAGAGAGAGAGGGCAGGGGAGGGGCAGAGAGAGGGAGAGAGAGAATCCCAAGCTGGCTTCTCACTGTCAGCACAGAGCCCAATGCAGGACTCTTATCTCAAGAACCGTGAGACTATGACTGACCAGGAGTTGGAAGCTTAACTGAACGAGCCACCCAGGTGCCCCTAAAAAAGAAAGTTACTTTTAAAAAAGAAAAATCTGGGGCGCCTGGGTGGCTTAGTTAAGCGTCCAACTTCAGCTCAGGTCATGAGTTCGAACCCCGTATCGGGCTCTGCATTGACAGCCCAGAGCCTGCTTCGGATCCTCTGTCTCCCTCTCTCTCTGTTCCTCCCCAGCTCGTGCTCTCTCTCTCAAAAATAAACATTAAATAAATAGATAGAAAAATCTGAAAGTTCTAGTTCTAAATGGAAGTGGGTGGAAAATAAGGGTATAATTCTGTAGGTCATATGATTGAAGGCATTATTTTAACAAAAGAAAGCAATACGATTTGTTCCTATAATTGAGCTGCGTAAAAGATGCATTTCATGATGTTTTCAGCAGATCATTTTAAAAACAAGTTCTTCTCGGGGCTCCTGGGTGGCTCAGCCGATTGGCCGTCCGACTTTGGCTCAGGTCATGATCTCGCGGTTCGTGAGTTCAAGCCTCGCGTCGGTCGGGCGTGTGCTGACAGCTCGGAGCCTGGAGCCTGCTTCAGATTCTGTGTCTCCCTCTCTCTTTATCCCTCCCCTGCTCACACTCTGTCTCTCTCAAAAATAAATAAACGTTAAAAAAAAAAAAAAAGAACAAGTCCTTCTATTAGTTTTCAAGCATAAAGTTTAAATAGTTTGATTTAATAATCAGAATATATTCAGTATTATAATATTCATTTATCACACACTGTTTTTCAGCAACATCATTTCTTTCTGTATTTGAACTGAATAGTATTTCCTCAAACTTAAAGTTACTGGGCTTGACCATGAATAGTAATGCAGATGCTGTGTTTTGGTTCAGTGGTTCTCAAGAGGGAGAAGTCTTGTCCCTGTAAAGAAGTATATCAAAATCTTATAAGGAATGAGTTAGAAGGGGCCTGTAGAGTTTGAAAAAGCATATTCAGTGATATGGAAAATAATATAAAAATAATTTTATATCTTGGAAGGCAAAAATCTATTTGTTTCACAATACAAATTACAGAAAAGCAAAGCTCTACAAAATATAGAGCTGGTGATGCCATCTCTTCAGTATTGGGATTCTCAATCAGGAGAAAAGGACTCTCCTCCCCCTCCCCCAGGCCAGGATACATATCCTGAGTCCCCTCAGGGAAGTAGATGACAGACTGATTAGAGTTTTGTCTCTTCTGAAAAGGTGGGATGGGTCAGAGATGTTGAAAAATGCTTCCAGGTTCATACTGCTGCTGCATGGGAAGCATTTTAGTCCATAAATGAGAGGATCATGCTTATTAAGAAAACCTGACATTTTTAAAGTAATTTTGCTTTTGAACCTTCATGTTTCTTGAATTGGATTAATTTCTGTGATGCAAATCATAGTTAAATACTCAGAATTGGTAAATACAATTGAGATAGGAATTACTTTAAAATATCAGAAAGAAATAAAGACAAATACAGATCTTGGATCAAAAGAGATTACGTCTACGTGACTTTCAAATAGGAAGATGATAGAAATTCATTCAGTCTTTTGGAACAAAAAGGCAGTGTAATCTGATAAAAAAAAAAAAAATAGGGGAATGGATGAAATGCCCTAAAACAAGGCTAGACGTCTAGTCTTTAATTTCTGTGATTATGTAAAAGGTGGGCTTCACAAATAATGCAGAAGCCAACATTAGTACAAAAAAAAAAAAAAA